TATTTTTTACACATTTTTCACGATTATGTCGAAACTAGTGGCAACATTGTAATGAAATTTTGTATAGATGTATCTCGAAATCTGACACATCGCATGAATATGTTTTTATATCTGACTCTCATAGAGGGCGCGGGGTTACACGGTTCGTACCGAGTAGTTTAGAACATAACTTTTTTTTTCTCACTCCAAATATGACATGAACTTGAACATCATTCAATTTCACACCAAAAAGATACTCTTGGCGAAACTCGATACTATGTTTCGTTTTCGGAATATTTCGATTTTAAAATAAAGTAATAGCTGATGCTGGTATAAATAGTTATTTATTATACAAGGGAAAAAAGTAGTAGATTTTAGCTCCAGGTTGTGTTGTCTCCCGACGCGTAGCGGAGGGAGACAAAAAACCGTGAGCTAAAATCTAATATTTTTCCCGTGTATAATACACTTTTTTTTTCTGTGACATAAAAAAAACGAATCAATATTGAAAAGATATTACATTATTTTGAAATCTGAAAATTATCGACGTGAAATTTTAAGTTTTCAACAGTAGGGACACCTGCGTTGTAGGCATCTTTATCATTCAATTGAAGTTTTCAAATATCTGATGTCACTTCTGTCAGTCTAATTCTGTGATTTGATTTCAAAAAATTGCGAATTTAGTGGTTGTTTAGTAATATACGTAACCGCGAAGTCGAATGGAAGATAAAAAGACTTGCAGTTCTTTCTCGGAGACGGTATTATTGACTCATTTTTCGGAACTATAGCACAACAAAAGCCATCAACAGTGTATATATATGTGATATACAGGGTGTTTCATAATTGAATGTCAATATTTGGGGAGGCGATTTTTGGGCCCATTCTAAGAAGAAAGTTTCATATGAACGTATGACCTAAACATCCTAACTTTTGAGATACAGGGTGGTAAAGTTCTCAAAAATTAATAGTTTTTTATTAATATCTGTAATACCACTTCAGATATTCTGATGAAATTTGGCATACATGTACTATGTATCAAGATGCATCAGTAAGCGTACCACATTTTTTGTTGTTGCCACCAGTGGCGTTCGTATGGAATTTCACATACCTATTTTGGCAGACATTAATGGTACGCCACTGATTAATCTCCAAATTGAAATCATTCCTGAAATTCCCAAACATTTCTAAGCAAATTTGATCACTACAATTTTTTCAATCTGATGCACGGTTTTCGCTTAAAAATATAACAAGCTTTTTACTACATGATTATAGCAATATCGTTAATATGACAATATCACAATGCAGAGAACTAGATTTTATTTCTTAGATCAAATTTCAGAAATACAATTCATAGTTTATGAACTTCGTATTCATATTCGGTATTTTGGAATTATCACTTCTCATTGTAGTAGGCTATATTAATTTTCGAGAATTTTACCACCCTGTATCTCAAAAGTTGGGATGTTTAGGTCATATGTTCATATGAAACTTTCTTCTTAGAATGGGCCCAAGAATCGCCTCCTCGAATATTGACATTCAATTATGAAACACCCTGTATATCCGGGAAAAAAGTAATTTATGAAAAGTGACATTTTATAACCTGCCAACAGAGATGAAATGCCAAACTTTTTTCCCGTCACAGAAAAATAGTTATTTATTATACAAGGGAAAAAAGTAGTAGATTTTAGCTCCAGGTCGTGTTGTCTCCCGACGCGTAGCGGAGGGAGACAAAAAACCGTGAGCTAAAATCTAATATTTTTCCCGTGTATAATACACTATTTTTTTCTGTGACAGAAGGAAGGACAGATCAATATTGAGAAGATATTGCATTATTTTGAAATCTGAAAATTATCGACGTGAAATTTTAAGTTTTTAACAGTAGGGACACCTGCGTTGTAGGCATCTTTATCATTCTTTTGAAGTAATCAAATATCTGATGTCACTTCTGTCAGTCTAATTCTGTGATTTGTCTTCAAAAAATTGCGAATTTAGTGGTTGTTCAGTAATATACGTAACCGCGAAGTCGAATGGAAGATGAAAGGATTCGCAGTTCTTTCTCGGAGACGGTATTATTGACTCAGTTTTCGGAACTATTGCACAACAGAAGCCATCAACAATGTATATACAGGGTGATCCACGGTGGGTGGCCTATTAGAAGTATCTGAAGAACGAAAAGACAGAACATTCTGAAAGATGGGATGCTTCGATAATTGAACATTCTCTATCCGTCTAAAATATTTTCATTGATACAGTGTTGCCACTCCTATCAGAAACAACTAGCAACTTCGTTATTTTAAATGGAGCACCCTGTATTTTATTGCATTTTTAGATTTTTCCTGAAGAGCTGATTCCATCAATGTATCACATTTGGGGTCTAGCAGGAATTATCACAGGTTATAGGGTGTTCAAAATCGAGATTTTTCAATTTCAGGAGTTTTTTGTGTCTAAACTATTCATTATCGATCAAAACGGCTCACATGTCCCTATATTAACTTTCAATTCACTATCTACTGACATTTAATTGGAACAGATACAGGGTGATCAGAATTCTTAATCTTGAAGCACCCTGTATTATTTCCAATAAATTCCCAGTAGATAGTGAATCAAAAGTTAAGATAGGGACATGTAAGCCGTTTTGATCGATAATGAATAGTGACGACACAAAAAATTCCTAAAATTGAAAATTCTCGATTTTGAACACCCTATATCTCTGTAATCATTCCTGCTAGACATCAAGTGTGAAATAACAAAGTTGCTAGTTGTTTCTGATAGAAGTGGCAACACTGTATCGATGAAAATAATTTAGACGGATAGAGAATGTTCAATTATCGGAGCATACAAATTTTCAGAATGTTCTGTTTTTTCGTTCTCTAGATACTTCTAATAGGCCATCCACCGTGGATCAGCCTGTATATATGTGATATACCGAGTGGCTACGGAAGTATTGCCTGCGGAATATCTCAGTTATTGTATGAAGTAGGTTTGTGAAATTTGGAGCGTCGATATAATGACATAAGAGCTAGAATTTGAGCATATTGACATGTCGAAGTTAACTTCCGGTCTGGTCGGAAGAAACATCAACTTCTTTATTTTAAATGGAAACCCAATTTTTTTTTCGCTTTATTCAGCATTCAATTCACTTTCTAATGACTTATCACAAATTAGTATCTAACCAGAAACTAGATCAGAAAAAATTTATCATTGAAATTCATCGAGTAGGCCGTGGAAGCAAAATGAAAGCCAAAAATTGAAAAGTTGGCTATGGAAACCATACGTCACTTGATAACAGTTGCTACTACTCTGATATTTTATTTTCATTCGTCGGCGCTATTTTTTCTTTCGATAAATCCGTTTTTTTGTTATTTGAAGAATAATAATTGGATTTTTTGCTATTTCATTTCAAAAAATGACTTTCTATTATATCATCAGAAAGGAATGGTTATGCTGAATAGTACAGGCAAGAAAAAGTTGTATGTTCCTATTTAAGTTATGGACCTACAGAGTATTGATTTTTTCCCAATTTTTCCAATATTTTTTTGGCGGCTTTTTATAACGCCGACGAATGAAAATAAAATATCACAGTAGTAGCAACTGTTATCAAGTGACGTATAGTTTCCATAGCCAACTTTTCAATTTTTGGCTTTCATTTTGCTTCCACGGCCTACTCGGTGAATTTCAATAATAATTTTTTTCTGATCTAGTTTCTGGTTAGATACCAACTTGTGATATGTCATTAGAAAGGGAATTGAATGCTGAATAAAGCGAAAAGAAAACAAAAAAGGGTTTCCATTTGAAATAAGAAAGTTGATGTTACTTCCGATCAGACCGGAAGTTAACTTCGACATGTCAATATGCTCAAATTCTAGCTCTTATGTCATTATATCGACGCTCCAAATTTCACAAACCTACTTCATACAATAACTGAAATATTCCGTAGGCAATACTTCCGTAGCCACCCGGTATATCTGGGAAAAAAGTTATATTAAATGTCTTTGAACTGTTGATTAGGAGTTTGTTTGAGGCAAACCAATCTATCACATTATTCATGACAGTCTGACGGAATGGAATGATGTCATTAAAATCGTTATCATTTGTGACAATACTAGTATCGTCGGCAAATAACGAAAATTTTATATTGGGGAAAACAGTGTGACCAACTACTAATGGAAACACCCCTGTATCTTACGTAATCGTTAGGAAAGAATCCTGAAATTTGCTAGAGCGAGAGATATACCAAAAATGCACTCAATGCATGACCAAGTGGGATCATCTTGAGTGATATACACTGCTCGCCAACAGCCATGGAACCACCCCAATTTCAGGAAATTGATATTAGGAGTCAAAATAGGTCGAAAATCACTTCAGATTCGGAATCAGGACGCCCAATACACTGAATATTCATATTTTGTCTGGACAAGAATTAAATTTTGTCGCACTTTTTACGGAAACACCTCCGTATCTTACGAAATTGACTTTATCTTTGGGGTTTCCCTTCCCCTGCAAATTTCAGAACGCTACCTCAATATTTAAGTGAGATACGGGGGTGCTTCCATGAGAACTGATAATTTTTTAGGGAAACTATGAATAGTTAGTGATTTGGGTGTCCTGATTCCGAATCCGAAGTGATTTTCAACCTATTTTGACTCCTACCTAATATCATTTTCCGGAAATTGGTGTGATTCCATTGCTGTTGGCGAGCAGTGTATATCACTTGGTCATAGAGTGCATATTCGGTATATCTCCCGCTCCAGCAAATTTCAGGATCCTCACTTAACGGTTACGTAAGATACATGGATGTTTCCATTGGAAGTGGGTCACACTATATCTGAGAAAATTCCTTTCCAATACCTTAATACCAAATCGAAGGGTTCAATCTTGAACGATGGAAATTTGTTATGTTCACAGACCTCTAATCACAGATTCGTGATTGAGTTTTCTCAATTCAGAATCTTCTTTCCACGCCATGTATGATGAATATTAATTCGTCAAGCATCTAAACAAAACTTCGAACTTTTGATTTCTAGGGATGCAGTGATAACCTGCCTGGTGAACACGATGACATCGATTCTAGCCGGCATAGTGACTTTTTCGATTTTGGGCCATCTGGCCCTGGAGCAGAATATAGGAGTAGGCGATGTGGTTAGAAGCGGGCCAGGACTGGTTTTTCTAACGTATCCACAGGTAGTCATGAAAATGCCTGGAGCGCCATTTTGGGCAGCGACATTTTTCATAATGCTCTTGGTAAGGATATTCTCCAGAGAAAGAAAACACCTAGCCTATAAGACGTTTTTATATGTTTTTTATATGCCGCTAGCCTCGATCCGACTTCTTATCTCTAAGTCTTTTGCGCCATTTCATTTTCCTGAATTGAGGCGTGGCGTTCGAACTCCTCGCGAAAATTGTACAATATAAAACAATATTTTTTATGTAACCGACACAGAAGTCGTCCATGTCAATACCAAAATTAGCTCTTGAATTGACGTTTCTATTACAGACACAAAGAGAAGTATGTTGCTCGGAAGCATATTCAGATCCTAGGAGCTAATATTGAACTTTAGCTTCTGAGAACTGAAATGGATATGTACTAGGTCATCAAGAATAATAGTAGATTGTTTTATTATGATCAAAAGTGACACTTTGTTTGACAAGTGAATTTTGCATTTGCGAGGCGGAGCGTTTAGCGAAGCCCAGCGAAAGCAAAATTCGCGAGTCGAACAAAGTCACTTTTGATCCGAATGAAACATGCTATTTTTTCTTCAACCGAAACAATCATCTCTAATAAATATGTGAAGTAACCACCAATGCCGTGCCATATGTATGTAATGTAGCAAATCAAAATCAATGCAAAATCCGTGTGGTGAGAATATTCTACCTGTATTAACAGCAGGTTTATTCGATTTTCAAGGATGTTTTAATTGTATCTTCAATATAAATACACAGAATGACATATTTGTGTATGGATCAGATGCTCTAATGGCAAATACCGCGCTATAGTGCCAGGTATAGGAACAAGACGTGGAAAATGTTAGGTTAGTAAGCATATCAATAATAATAATAGCAATTATTCATTCCTCTCCATAATCCACTGCGTTTGGCTTGATAATCAAATGTAGGTAAACAATATCGTTGTTTGAGACAAAAACTATTGCTGGCCGTGATTATTCAATAACAAGTTATCTATCCTGAGAAAAACAAATGAAATACATATCAAGAAATTATGTTAATCCTGAAGGCTTTCCTGAGCATTAAAAAAAATCTCAACTATACCCTTCATTTTCATTATATATACTAGTGTGAATACTCAAAGACTATACTGAGGTGTATTTATATCTCCAGGCATGAGTATATAGAAATGCCAAATTTATCGAAATCGGAAACAAATCAGGTATGCGTCCCAACCCAAATAACCATCCATAACAATGTTGTTTATTCTTGATGACCTATAGTATATTCTTTTTAGTTCCTAGGAGCTTAAGTTCAACTTTAGCTCCTAGGAACTAAAGTTCAACTTTAACTCCTAGGAACTATGAATGTGTTCCCTAGCAACACACCTATTTTTGTGTCAGTTATAGAAACGTCAATTCGAGAGCTAATTTTGGTATCAAAATGGACGACCTTTGTGTCGGTTGCAGAAAAACATTGTTACGGTTTAATATTTTTTGGACGAGGACGCATATCTGATTTGTTTCCGAATTTGGCAGATTTTTTCATTAATATTGTTGATATGCTCACTAACCTAACATTTTCCACTTCTTTTTCCTAAACCTGGCACTGGCGCGGTATTTGCTATTAGGGCTGACACCTGGTCCAAATGAATTCATCGATTCATCGATTCAAGAGAATACACAAATAGGTCACTCTGTGGTTGTATTGATATTGAAACTACAATTAGAACATCCTTGAAAATTGAATAAACCTGATCTGTGAATGCTGGTAGACAATTATCTCCACTTGGATTATTGGTTACATTGAATACATGTGGCACGACATCCACGTTTCGAGTAGTATTGAATTCGTACCCGTAGTCCCTAATGACATGATGCATGTCAACACGAATCGTGAGGAAGTAAAGTAGTCTGAGGTCTTGCTTCTATCTACTTACTCATATTATTATAATAATCTGTCAAGTAAATCACATTGGTGGAAAAAATAGCATGTTTCATTCGGATCGAAAATGACTTTGTTAGACTCGCAAATCTTGCTTTCGCTCGGCTTCGCTAGACGCTTTGCCTGAAGTAGTCGCTTGTCTAACAAAGTGTCAGTTATGATCCTAAGAAAAAAATCTACTATTTTCTGCAATCTGCTCAAAAGTTGTCCATTTCTGTTCCAAAATTAGCTCTTGAAGTTGACGTTCGTTCCTCGGCAACACAATTTCGTGAACAATGAGACAACAAAATGATCTTGAATATTCAGAACACCGTGATATTACTTATAAAAACACAATGTATACCTACATAAGGCGTTTTCTTTCAATTCCAGCTATTGGGTGTAGACAGTGAATTCTGCCTGGTTGAATCTTTCATAACCGGCATTCTGGATAATTGGTCACAGCAATTACGGCCTTACAGGAACACGTTCACAGCCATCGTGTGTGCGATTATGTTTCTTCTTGGGATTCCCATGGTTACTCACGTAAGTATCTTATCCCAGTCGGTTCCTTCAACCGCAATCAGTGGCGTGCACTGAATCATTTTTACCTACGGCCACTATAGAAAGTAGGCAAGAGCACACGAGATACAGCCACAGTAAGTAGCTCTTTACGCACAGAAAGCACATCGCACAGTTTTCGTTTATTCCGCCAGTATAGCTATGTCATGATCGCGTAATCGCCGTCAACAGCGAATGACAAAACTGTCAAGAATTATAATTCCATTACAACACGCATTACGTACTATACTTCAACTACTGCCATATATACAGGGTGTTTCATTGGGAAAGGTAAATAATTCAACTGTGGATAGGGGTCACTGGGGTGATTTCAAAAAACCCATGGTTGATGGGTCTTCGACTTCTTATTACCGAGATACAGGATGTTTCATCAATTTTGTCCATATCTTCATTGTCTCATAACTTTCCAACCAACTTGTATATATTTTCAGAAATTGGTACACTTGCTCGATCTATCCTGTGGAATTGATTGAGGCAACAACAAAAGATAAAATCCCGGTCCGGCTTCACTTAAAATTCACAAATTCTTTCTGCCAGGAAACAACACCCTATACATTCGAATTTCAAATTTTTTTTGCCATATCTGAAAAGAACAACAAAATTTCCATTCAACGATGTGCTTTTTATTCGTGCACAGACGATTTTAACTATTCATATTATGTGCTCAAAATATTATTTTTGCTCATTTTGGGGTACAAAATTGGAATCAGACGAGATTTATTAATTTTATTACTTCCTATTCAGTATACGTGAGTATTACATTCAGAAGGAGTATTTCATATTATCGTTCTTTGTTCCAGACTTAGTTGCAGGTCCGTCATCAAAACTATACAGGGCTTTTCACGATAAGCGTTAATTAGATGTTTCTGACAAACCAGGCAACGGATGAATCTGAAATTTCGATGGTATGTATAAATTAACATGATCTACACGTCTGAAATATTTGAAACAATCCGGCGTTGCCGCTTCTACTCGAAAGTAGCAGTCACTTTGATTTTTCAAATGGGACACCCTGGATGCTTCCTGAAGAGCTGATTTAATCGATTCACAAAGTTCGGGGTCTTGTGGGACTAATACCTGAGATATTTAGAGTGAAAAAAATCGAGATGTTTCAACATTAGAATTATTTTGCGAAAATATTTATTATTGATCAAAACGGCTTTCATGTCCCTATCTCAACTTTGTATCTATTGACATTTAATCGAAACAAATACAGGATGGTTCATGACTCAAATTTCTGCATCACCCTGTATCTGTTTGAAATTGAATATCGAATGGAAAGTTGGGATAGGGACATTGAAGCCGTTTTGACCATGCAATAATAAATAGTTTCAACACAAAACATTTCTAAAATTGAAACATCTCGATTTTCCACATCCTCTATATCTCAGTTATCAGTCCCGTTAGACCTTGAATGTTCTGAATTGATGAATTCTGCTGTTCAGCAAGAATCCAAGAATGTAATGAAATACAGGGTGTCCCATTTGAAAAAAGAAGTTGCTGCTACTTTCTAGTAGAAGCGGCAAGGCCGGATCGTTTCAAATATTTCAGTAGTGTAGATTATGTTAATTTATACATATACCATCGAAATTTCAGATTCATCCGTTGCCTGATTTGCCAGAAACATCTAATTAACGCTTATCGTGAAAAGCCCTGTATAGTTTTGATGACGGACCTGTAACTAACTCTGGAACAAAGAACGATAATATGAAATACTCCTTCTAAATGTAATACTCACGTATACTGAATAGGAAGTAATAAAATTAATAAATCTCGTCTGATTCCAATTTTGTACCCCAAAATGAGCAAAAATAATATTTTGAGCACATAATATGAATAGTTAAAATCGTCTGTGCACGAATAAAAAGCACATCGTTGAATGGAAATTTTGTTGTTCTTTTCAGATATGGCAAAAAAATTAGAAATTCGAATGTATAGGGTGTTGTTTCCTGGCAGAAAGAATTTGTGAATTTTAAGTGAAGCCGGACCTGGATTTTATCTTTTGTCATTGCCTCAATCAATTCCACAGGATAGATTGAGCAAGTGTACCAATTTTTGAAAATATATACAAGTTGGTTGGAAAGTTATGAGACGATGAAGATATGGACAAAATTGATGAAACATCCTGTATCTCGGTTATAAGAAGTCGAAGACCCATCAACCATGGGTTTTTTGAAATCACCCAAGTGACCCTTATCCACAGTTGAATTATTTAACTTTCCCAATGAAACACCTTGAAGGAGCTGAGTTCGTATGGGGACTCCCACCGAGACATAGGTTCGAATCCTAGTTAGGCCATGTATGTTTGTGTTTGTATGTAAACCTAACCCCGTACAAGATTCGACTTATGGGGCGTTTGGTCCCAGTGCTGGGACCAACGAGGTATGCAATTGCAAAAAAAAAAAAGTTTGGAAAACAAAATAACTATCTCGGACTGGGCGGAGGGTGAAAAACTCACGCACTGGTCTGAATTACCAGGATTAACCCATTCGAAGGCGTTCCTGCCTAAACCAACGAAAGAAAAGACCAGGGAGATCCTAGAATGGATCGAGCAACGGTAACCTGCGAATTCTGACTGGACTGCTTACGGGACACTGTCGTCTAAGACACCACCTACGAAGGATGAGTCTGAACCAACAAGTAGACTGTTGGTTTTATTGTGTGTAAATCGAAACGGCTGAACACATGCATACTATGTTCATGCTCTTGCTTGAAGAGACGAAGATTCGACATATTTGGCTTCACCAATTTAGAACCTATCGATTTCAGACAAATCTAACATTATTCAATCATGGACTATGTAGAAAGAAGTGGATAGTACAGTGAACTGTAAACTCTTGGGGTGAGCTACAATAGACCCATCGGGGGTCGCCTAACCTATGTACGAAAACCTGAGGATCACCATGTTTAATTCTACAAGTAAGCATAGTGGGTGCTAACATTTTTCCTGTACATATAATCCATGCACATTGAAGGACCGTTTGATTTCTTGCTGCAACAAGATTGCATCGTTTATCAACAAAAGTGTTATCACTTCCTTTGTTTTATAATGTACAGTCATGATAATTTCCAAAATAAATAATATATCTACATATGACTTATACTTATGACACTTCTATATACCTACATTTTTGAGTCACAATATGATAATCAGCAACTTCATAAAACTTAAATATTGAAGTGTCTGATTGGAAGCTGATGAGCTATACGAATTTATTAATAATTTTTTGAAAACTGCGTTGAGCAAGATAGAGTTGATTTTCATTGGACTGTCAGCTTCAGTTTTTGATATTGAGAATGGGAAAATCAGTTGAGATGCATCACATCCTCTATGCAATAATTTTGTTCCGAACACCATTACAATAGCGAATGTATATTATAGAGCTGATATACAATCATTTCACATGAGTTTTATGGTGATTCCTAAGTGTATATCGGAGTTTGTTGTAAATAGTAGTTCTGGAACAAATTTGCAGAATTGCCATCGGAATATCGTCTTTATCGTCGTTAATAGTATAAGTCATAAGATTTCCATAGGTCAATAAGATTTGTTGCGAGTTTGTTGTATAGCGATTTGAACAACATTAAAAAAAATGATAAAAGAGAATTGAATAAACTTCTCCTTCTCCAAATGACATTAAAAGTGGCTATATTAAAACAAATAACTATTCTCTACTAACGTCAAAAATGACAAGGTTCACGCATTGATGACAATTTGCTAAGTAACACTTTTCTCAATGTCCTAGTTACCACGACACCATGAGCGAACAATGCGCGAAATACATACTTCGGGCATGTATGTTAACTATTTAAGAATTTCGTGTTTGGAGTTTATGGTCCTCAATCGAACAAACATCCAAGAAATCAGTTATTGCTGAATGTTTAACAATAATGAAGTCCTCTTAGGAGAGTTCAGCACTATTTTGACGTTTGTATATAGGAAAAATGTTGTTCGCAACTCGTGCTCGAAATGATACTTTGGTGATCGAGAACTGATTTTGTTAAAAAAAATGTGTTGAAAAAAAATATCAACGTTTTACAGCATTTCATTTACGACTGAATGTAATTGATATTTTCATGCCTACAATACTGTCTTTTCAGGGTGGCATGTACATTTTCCAACTCATGGACTACTATTCTGCCAGTGGTATTTCCCTTTTATGGGTCTGCTTCTTCCAAACCGTCGCCATTTCATGGATATTCGGTGTGGAAAAATTGAGTGACTGCGTAGAACAAATGATGGGAATCAGGCCGGGCAGATTTTGGACGTTCTGCTGGAAATATTTTGCACCAATCAGCATAGTGGTAAGATCAAGTTATGATGACTAGAACGATAATTGATTATTAATTCTGCTGAAAAAAATTGCTAGTCGACATAGAATAGCTATGATAATAGATGATTATACACCAAGGTAGTAAATAATATCATTATAACCCAGGGACCAAGATTATATCACGAGGCTTCAGCCGAAGAGTGAATGAGGTCCTGTGGTTATGATATTGTTACGTTATTCGGGTGCAGAAGCGAACACGACACTATTTATTTTCGAACTGATTCATTTCAACTAAAGAAACACTAATTTATATCGAACTAATAACTACTTTTTATGTAAAACGTTTCATAACACGCGGTATATGACTATCTCTCTGACACCCGCTGCTTGACTGACTGACGGCAGTTGTCCGGTCGTCCTTATATATGAGATCCTTTGATAGGCTTTGCTTCTCGAACGTTCTCGAATCATATTCCGTACCCTTCTCTTTGTTCTAGAAGCTTATTAGAACAAAACCACTCTCTCTCTAATTAATTGTTCCATCGATTGTTTCCAGAACGTTCCAGATTCTTCTGTCACGTTATTTGTCACCGCGACATATATTGAGTGTTCGGATGTTGGAGAACAATCTGGGATGCGTGTTACAGGATGATCGTTGTACTCCTGTCTTCCTGATGATGTTTCTAGAACCCTTCTGAGGGAAATATCATTACCATATTAATATATGATATATTCCAATCATTTTGGATCTGTGAAACTGAGATATGGACATATTGTAAATATGAAAGCATTTTTTTTTTCAATTATAATTAGAATCTAGTAGTCATGACCCATAGTAACAGCGGCAAGTATGAGGACGATTTGATATTTTGGATAAGGATAACGTCACAAATTATGATTTTTTGTCACCGCGGTTTGTCCTACAAATATCATCAGTGTTACAAACCTTGAATCAAATACCGACAAAAGGAATAGAGAAAGAGAGGAACCCTACGAAATAATTCTGAAAACAAAAAAATGCTGGAATTCTCATGAGGGAGTTATTGTAGATTTCTCATCTTGTGGTTATTTCCAGGTTATATTCATCAGTCAATGTGCCCAGTATCAGAGATTGGAGTATGGAAATTATCAATATCCTCTGTGGGCAGATATGATCGGACTGTGTATTAGTTTTTCCTCTATGGTTTGGGTCCCAGCGTATGCTTTGTATTACCTGTTGAGTCAGCCTGAAAGTTTATTAAAAGTAAGGAATACCTATGAGATAGATTCTGAGTCAAAAGTGTTCATTATCATTTGGACGTGTATAGTTTGGAATGATTCCAAGTAGTATCATACTTATATAGGTCACCAAGTAATAATCAGTAATCTCAAAAGTGATGGAGAAAGCCATCAATATTGAGCTTACCAAATATCTGGAGAGCTCAGGAACCATCACTGATAGACAATACGGCTTGAGCCACCAAAGATCTACTGGAGATCTACTTGCCTACGTCACCCATTTATGGCAAGCTTCATTAGAAAAACACGGGGAATCTCTAGCTGTCGCGTTGGACATATCGAAAGCATTCGACCATGTTTGGCACGAAGGACTCCTCCACAAACTACCATCATACGGCTTATCACCTCAGCTATGCCACCTCTTATCGAGTTTTCTTTCAGGCCGAACGCTTCACGTGGTGGTGGACGGTGTATCGTCTGATACCATTGGCTTCAATTCCGGCGTTCCACAAGGATCAATTTCGGCACCAACATTATTCCTTCTTCATATCAATGATCTGTTGGGAGTAACAACTTGCCCCATCCACAGCTTTGCAGATGATAGTACCCTCCATACTGCGTTCTCTTCCAGAATTCCCATTTCTTCCCAGGAAACTAAGAACTCACGGGGCAGGCAGGTCAATGCTGTCAATGAAGACTTTGCTGAAATCACAGCTTGAGGAACCAACAAACTAGTTGAATTCAACGCCACCAAAACTCAAGCCTGTATTTTCTTTAGAAAGGCCTAACTCAGTATGCCCGATATTGTAATGTCTCGCACCACCATCCTCACCAAGCCCACCATATCTATGCTCGGTATTTCCATCAGCAACACTCTTTCATGGGATAATCATGTCAGACCCATCGCAAAAGTTGCTTCACAAAAACTCGGATTCTTGTTCCGTGCGAAAAGCTACTTTACACCTAAACAGCTTCTCATGATCTACAAAGCGCAGATACGGCCTGTTCTAGAATACTGATTCCACATTTGGGGTCCAGCACCAGAACATACGCTGATGCTCTTAGATTCCATCCAGAGAAGAGCCATTCGCCTGGTGGGTGACGTCACACTCACTCACTCTTTGACATCATTGGAACACCGTAGAAAGGTCGGCGACTTTTCACTTTTCTATCGATACTTCAACGGGAAATGTTCTTCGGAAATTCCTGCTATCATCCCTTCACTAGAAATACCAGTCAGACGAACTAGACGAGCCCAGTCAGCACATCCTTTCGTTGTCAACCTCGAAAGATGTCGAACACCACTTTATCAAAACTCCTTCATCCATAGAACGGCTAGGGTCTGGAATTCATTGCCTGAGGAAGTATTCCCAACAACATATAATCTCCAGATATTCAAGAAACATTACAATACCTACCTCCTGTCCCTATTCTGCCTAGTAACGCACGATGTTCTTTGAACATTATAGGAATTTCCTTTCGTGCGCTCCAAGCGATAAAAAAAAAGTTGAATCAGACGAGGGTTATGGAACAAGAAATCGAGAAAAAAACCCAAAAAACTATTGAAAATGCTTCTGCAGTCATTCTCAACTTGCTACCAGTGAGATCTAGAAATCTGTATGATGCAGCTTATACTCGCTTCGGAGAAGGGTGTTTCAAAAAGAAAGCGCAGAGCTATGCACATTATCTCCCTAGGGAATAATACAAGACTTCTGCCCCTCTTTTGTTACCAGAGAAACTGACTTCTACTCCCGCCGGTGTAAAAAACACATTATGAGGAGGCATCAAAAATTGGTTTTCATGAGTGAAGATACTGAAAATATTGAAGACAAAGAGCACTTTTGACCTAAACGCTATCTTAGAAAACTTCAATTCATGGTGTGGAAATATATCCATATTTTTTTTCAGAATTTCAGGAAAGGAATACAGGCGAATTTTAAGCAGAGAAAGATTTCGGTATGTGCCAGTAGTTCAGGTCAGCTTCTGACCCAGAGCAATGTGGTGTTAATAGCTCCATCGAATCCGCCCTGCACAAAGAGTTGACCAGATCATATCCACGACAGTATTCGAATTAATCAAGTTGAGCATTATTTATTTGATTAGATATGGTTGTGAATGTATCAGTACAAGAACGAGAAACTGATGTAACTTCACCAATTCAATTATTGAAATGTATTATATTACTAGCGTGACTTGTGATAGATGATCAATTGCGATTTTTTTACCAGTAACTAGTTCCTATGAATAATATGAGTGTCATTTCTTTGTTCGTCCCATTATATGTTGTACACACTGAGAAAATGCGAACAATTGAAATATATTCGACATTTTTCCTCCACTCCGTTAATTCCTGATGGTACTAACTGTGCATGTCCAAGAGGTGTATGAACCAATGATACAATATACCTATGAATGATGAACACAATCTCCATTGCCTCCATATTGGATCGAAATTGGCAGTAGCAAGTGAAGATTAATGCCACTGGGGATACCATAAAACATATATATGATTGTGATAATACAGTACCATGGAAAATTACGTTTGAACTGGAACAAGAAATATTAAAATCGTATCTGAATATAACAATATCATAATGATGGTACTGATGTGTTCAGGCATGATGATTTCAATCTTCAATCACTGCTTTTTTATGAATGTCTGGATGATGAAGTTTTCCTGAGTACAATGTTTTCATGCATTCAGTTTTATAACCTGATTTCCTCCAAATATACAGGAATTTTCCGGAAATGTCTTTTCAAATGGAACACTCTGTATATTATTACATATTCAAGTTCAACAAGTCAAAGCAAGTGCTGTCCTCATGTCAAAAGTAATTTGTTTTTGAAAAATCGAAATTAAAATTGTTTTTTTATTTTACTTCGTGGATGAATGAGATTTGGACAAGGCTTTTCACAATGAGTCGCATATAACAGAGAAACATATTATTTTCTTCTGAAGAAATATTTTTTGTGTCACTCATCGATGAGGCAATCCAGTCATATCACATTTTGATCAAACATTGATTTTGTTTCCTAACAGAACTCCTATGGTTCACGACCTACAATCTACATGCCTCTCTAGAACATACATTGAGGAAAATAATTACATATTATTTTTGTATTTCGGTGCAGTACCAAATTGTATGCTTCCCAAAATAAACAACTACAGTCATCAAGATTGCATTTGTTTTGACCTGTTGCACTTGAATATGTAAAACCAAAGGTCTGTTTGTACTGTGATCAAATCCGAAACGATTACTTATACTGGGTGATTCAGGTTTTAGAGCACAAACTGAAATGGAAGGTAGATCCCATCATTTCAATCATAAAAGTTCATATATACATCAGTTCGATCTCGTCCAGTAGCGGACCTATAGGAGGTCAAAGTTCAATTATTTTTTTCTATTAATTGAAATATCTCGCTTACTTTTCAAGATATTATCTTAAAATCTGGTGTGCTCGATACTATCTAGAATATCATCACTTCAAGCTATTTTGAGATTTTCAAAATCAGGGTGATACGGTTTTGGGGGTAGAGGCTTCTTTATCCCCCCCAAACTTTCTCGTAGTACGCCTATCAAATTGTGAGGATCTTCCAATTTAGAGGCATTTTTGTCCCCCAATGTTTTTCGTGAAACCAACTGTTTTTGAGATAATTGAGCATATAAGTTCTGAAACATGTTAATTGTGCCTATATTTCGCTAAAATTTCAAATATACCTATACCAATTTTCGTGATTTGAATATACAATGTGTCTGAGAAAAAAATTAAAAATGATAGGTAAGCAATATTTTTCATCCTGAAAATTCTTCACTCAAAATAAAAAGATGAATCAGGATCACTTGGAACAAACCTGTACCAATTTTCATCCTCATTAAACACAGGGTGTTCAAAAAATCAAATTGATATTTTTTTTGAGTTGATGAAAAAATATTGCCTACTTTTTCTCTTCAATTGTTTTCTCATACACATCGTATTTTTGAATGATGAAAATCGGTAAAGATATGTTCAAAGTGATCCTCAATAATAATGTGTCATCAATTTTTCTCAAAAATACCACAATACTACATTTTCTGATCACCTATTAAAAAAAACATGATTCTTTTTTTCGGACACCCTGTGATTTATGATGATAAAAATCAGTGAAGGTGTTTTTCAAGTGATCGTGATTCAGAATCCATCATTGTTTTCTGTGAAAAAAAAAAATCCCTAATAGTACTTTCTCAAATATGGGTCAATAAAGTTGGTCGCAGTTGGCCACGATTACAGTTCATGAGTAAAATCACTCTCTTGTTGGATGGACATTTCAAATACCTATCCAACAAAAAAAAGTTTTTTGAAATCTGTCTGATAATAACAATTTTACAGGGGTGGTAAGTCCTTCAGGTGGACACACTGTATATACACGCTATATAATGGTGATGATGATGGGAAACCCTGATTTCGAGTGAAAACGTCGAACCCACAACCTCTGGTCAGAAGATTGAGCAATAACGAATAGACCTCATTATTTGCAGTAAAATACTCCACAAACGTTGAGATTTTCACAAAATTCTTAACAATATACCACATGTTTAGCTAAATTATTGGTTCCTTCAAGTGAGATACCCAATTACCTACTCTAACAATAAACTCCCAATAGCAGTCATTCGATACACTACCTGTCTATCGATCACATGATTTATTCAAGTAGAAAATGATGTCACCTACACTTCATGAAAATTTTAAAGAAAGGATCAATCGTTATATTGATCTTATTTATCTACTAGTTTTATAAGCAGAGCTGTATTAGTTATCAAAATCCACATCTTATTATCTTCTTCTTATGTGAGACTTTAATAAATTGACGTTCATACTACGCTGAAAGTTGGAACTTATCGACTCAGAAAATACGTATTTATCATTTTTGTTTCCATGGAAATGTATTATTGGTTACGTATATCTGTACCAACACAAACATTGTTTTATGAGTGAATATTCATGTATCATTCGCTCTCGCATTCGCTCCAAGTTATCCATGGAAATGTGAGTAAGTAAATGGCTCAATGGATTTCATTTCATCGAATAAAATCATACTTTGGCGCATATTCTCGGCTCGTTCGGAAGAAATCCTAATGGCATCATACCTCGATATTGAATAGATTTATGGTGAAACGCATGATCATATATCGAAACAAATCCCTTTAGCCTCATGTTAGAGTGAAGTGATTTCGCACTTTCCACGTCTTTATACGATGAAGCTAGTTACAAACTAGCGGAGTCAGGGGACCAATAGCATGTAATGGAATTATGGTTCTGGGAAAAACTTTCTCGTTGAAACCGACTCCACTGAATTTGAAAATCATATCAATAAGTTTTACGACGCAGTTTTCTTGACAGTTATCTAACACAGTGTTCAGCGTTCGAATTCCTTCAATTCAGCTAAATTTTAAAGAGCCTCACCGCATTCCTGCACCAATGCTGAGCTTTGAGTTCTGTTCTGGCTCCTCTTTCAACTCTTGTCTCTCTGCTACGGCCAGAATGGAAAATACTTGAGCCTGAAGAACTGTACTGTATTTTCCTGAGGCATACTCATTTCTAATATTTTTTCCTTCTAGATAAATTCCTACAAAATAGACATGTTTGTCAGTTAGGCGCGATCCATCCGTGTAATATCATAGACTCCCTAGAGGTGAAATTTTACTCTGTATATCCAATTACTCTTGTATCCATTACGTTGATTGCAATCTTTTGAATACTAATTCAAGAATTGTTTCATGAATTACTTGCTCCAGGTTAACTATGAAAATGTTAGTAGGTAAGTAAATGGCTCATCAAATATTTTGAAACAGGATATATTTTGTTATAAAATTTGGGGTAATTTTGCTGTAAACATTTCGAAATTTATTTATTTTCTACAAATTAGATTCAGGACCTCTAGGAATTCTGATTATGGCCTTCTATTCAGTAAGGCCATCTTCCTTTTCCTCCAACATTCTCATCATTCAAGGAGGTATTCTATTCTTTTTGCACATAACAAATCTTTCATTGGCTTATATTATACCACGATATTGAAAAGATTCATGGTGAAATGCATGATCATATATTGAAACAATTCCCTTTAGCTCCATCACGTTACAGTAAAGTGATTTCACACTTTCCACGGCTTTATATGATGAAGCTAGTTACAAACTAACGTAGCCAGGGGACCAATAGCATGTGTTGGAATTATGGTTCAGGGGAAAACTTTCTCCTTGAAACCGACTCCACTGAATTTCAAAATCATATCAATAAGTTTTACGGCGCAGTTTTCTGACAATTATTAGACACAATGTTCAGCGATAAAATGTCTTCAGTTCAGCTAGTTTCTCAAGAGCTTCACTGCATTCCTGCACTCTTTCACCTCCTATCTCTCTGCTTCCGCCAGAATGGAAAATACTTGAGCCTTGAGCTGTAATGTATTTTCCTGAGGCATACTTATATCTGATATATTCTCCTTCTAGTTAAATTCCTTCGAAAGAGTCATGTTTGTCAGTTAGGCGCGATCCATCCGTGTAATATCATAGACTCCCTAGAGATGGAATTTTACTCTGTATCAAATTACTCCTGTATCCATTACGTTGATTGCAATCTATTTCATGATATCAAGTTCTTTATCGAAATTTCCTGTGTACGTACCTATGAATACTAATTCAATAATTGTTTCATGAATAGATGTTCATGTATTACCCGCTCCAGGTTATATTTCGTTATCAATTTTGAAGTTATTTTGCTGTAGACATTTCTAAATCTACTTATTCTATATAGATTAGAATCAGGACCTCTATGAATTTTGATTATGGCGCTCTTTTCAGTAGGGCCATCTTCTTTTTCCTCCAACATCCCCATCGCATTCAGGGAGGTATTCTATTGTATTTGCGCATAACAAACTCTTTCTTTGGCGCATATTCTCGTCTCGTTCGAAAGAAATCTCGTAATCTCAATGCCATCATACCTCGATATTGAATAGATTTATGGTGGAATGCATGATCACATATTGAAACAATTACCTCTAGCCTCACGTTAGAGTAAAATGAGTTCGCACTTTTCACGGCTTTATATGATGAAGCTAGTTACAAACTAACGTAGTCAGGGGACCAATAGCATGTAATGGAATTATGGTTCGGGGAAAAATTTTCTCGCTAAAACCGACTCCACTGAATTCGAAAATCATATCAATAAGTTTTACGACGCAGTTTCCTGACAGTTATCTGAAACAATGTTCAGCGTTCGAATTTCTTCAGTTCAGCTAGTTTCTCAAGAGCATCACCACATTCCTGCACCAATGCTGAGCTTTGAGTTCTGTTCTGGCCCCTCTTTCACCTCTTGTCTCTCTGCTACGGCCAGAATGGAAAATACTCGAGCTTGAAGAACTGTACTATATTTTCTCTCTAATGTTTTC